AGGTGAATAAAAACGTACTTGTCTTGTTGATCAACATAGTTTTACCACTGGCAATTCGCATACTTATGTGATTGGTATAGTCCGCCATATTGGAATAGCCGACAATTTCCGAAAACTGCTCGACTCGGAAACTCGCTCCTAGTAGTCCTCGGTTGTCCTTCTGAGCGGTAGGATTTTAGAGAGCAGAGCTGCAAGTTTTATTTCGCGCATGCGCAGGTAAACGTCGCCTTTGTTACATGCACCGAATTGCGCCATTTTTCTCATTCCACTGTGTACTTGCTTCGGCTGTGTGGCTCATCACAACACAACACGAATCCTGGAAAGTCGCAGGGATGTGACCTTGTACATGTTAAGCACCACTGAACAATCATTAGACAACGCAGTTCACTTCAGACCATGACTAGCGTTGATCTGTTGGGCGACGATGGAAGAGAGGCTCTGAATGCTTGTGTGAAGGTCTGTATTGGTACTTTTTCAGAGCGACTGGCAAGTGAGAGACTCGAACGTATTTTCAAGACTGAAGGCCTTTCTGGGATGAGATTAGTACCGGAAACCGGATATTACGATTTTAAGCGACGTCGGCGTGAGTTGATAGAAGAGGTGACTAAAAAAGTTGAGCCTATACAGATATTTGATAAAGAAGGCAAACTTCTACGTGAATATTCCCCGACTGAGGCTACCTTCGGAGACAGTAAAAACATATTTCCTTCAAAGAGACATGAAAGGAAAGATATATCAGTAAAGGTTTGCCAGTCTTATGTCAAAGGAAAAGATACTCAAGAGGAACGGCAGGAAAGTAAACGACTTGTTGATGAACGTAGATGGGCAGAGTCGGGCAGTGAGTGTGCCACTGCGAGTGATTTTTTCAGCATTGGCACAGGTTCAGGGTTTATTCTTCATAACCATTTTATAGTTACCAGTGGGAGTGTACTCAAAACCTATGATGAGGCGGAGAGTCATCAGATCCGTATTTCTAATGCAGTAATTGGTAAATTACCTTGTAAGGTCGCATACCAAGATGTGGCTAAAGATTTGGCTTTACTTTATTGTCCAGATCTTAATTTAGAGCGAAGTGGAATTCGTCCGTTGCATTTGTCCAGCCAGTCATTGTTACCAGGCATGCCAATATTTTCTTTTGGCTATCCCATGGGTCACGCAGGAGATACAGCTCTTTTTGTGACTGGTGATGTATCCAAAATAAGCTCGTCAATGATGTCTTTAAATTGCCCACTCAACTCTGGCAATTCAGGTGGTCCAGTGATAAGTCGGATCAACAACGGTCAGTTAAAAGTGGTTGGTATTGTAACACAGAAGCCGTTCAAAGAGGTTCTTACATTGGAAGAGACTGATGCTGTCGAAAAAATACGGAAATCATTGCAAACCAACATTGTTAATCCCCAACATCATCTAACGTTAAAGCTGTATGGCATATTGAAAACACATTCTCTGCTTGACTTAAGTAATGCCTTACCAGGATGTTTAGTGGTTGAGTTTATCAGGAACTCTACTGGTAAATATGAAGGAGAACACAAAGAA